CACGTACGCAATATCCGGCCTAGTACATGTTGTAATGTATAGTAGGCATCCGATCAAGGAGCGATACGGCTTCGAGCGCGTCGTCGAACGTCTTTCTTCCGTCCTAGGTGACTGTGATGATGACAATTTCATTCCTACAGCGCATGGGTTGTCCACACTCTTGGCATCTTTTTGGCCGAACTTCTTGACCACGTCGTCGATATAGTGAGTCTGATTGGTCATGATTGTCCTGGTAGACCTGTCGTGGTCGATCTCCATACCCAAAATGAGTCCGTCTTCATCAATATCAGCACGCTTCGGAGTCGGTGGTCCGTCAGTTACTTTTGTTGGTTCTTCTTCCTATTTGTAGTCGTTTCTAAGCAACATCATCGGCTCACGTCTTCCTCTTGTTCGCTCCACTTCAGGTCGGGAAAATAAACGATATTCTTGTTGTATTTGAGGCGGTGGTTTATACTCTGCTAGTTGCATCGTGTCTTCAACATGGAGATCGGGAGGCATCAGCTGCTGTGTACTGACGATTGATGTAGAATCCACATCGTCCATCTCCACGTCGTCCATCTTCACGTCTGCGACCTGATCTTCAACATCTTCCATGGATTCGTCCAGATCTGACTGTCTATCTTCTTGATTCTGAGTCTGTATGTCATCACTGTCCTTCGTCACGTGAACGAACGCTTCCGGATTTAGCACTTGAGTGTCGTAAATGCCGCCCACTTCACGTTCATCCAACTTCATTGAACGCGTAACTTTGACCTTGGCATTTTCTAAGTCAAACACACGATAACCTTTGACATTTTCTGCGTAGCCGAGAAACATACACTTGTACTCTTGGACTCCAACTTTGTGCTCTTCACATCATTTATATGAGCGAAACCCTGCGACCCGAACACGCGCAAGTGGTCCATTTGGGGCTTTATCTTATAAGCCAACTCATACGGTGTCATGTCGAGGTGAGCCGTATTCGTGGATCGGTTCATCAAATAAACTGCTGTAATCACCGCTTCCGCCCACCATCCAGTTGAAACGTCTTTGTAGTGTAGCATGCTCCGAGCCGTCTCCATGATTTTCCTGTTCATCCGCTCTGCCACTCCGTTCTACTGAGTGCTATAAGGAACGGAACGCTGATGCACTATGCCGTTCTGTTGACACATGCTATCCATCGTCTTGTTGACAAACTCTGATCCGTTGTCGGAGCGCAAACACCTCAAAAGAGCTCCCCATTGATTTTCGAAAAACGTCTTGAATTCCTTGAACTTTCCAGTCACTTCACTCTTACTTTTGATCATAAAGACCGCAACGTATCGTGACTAATCGTCTATATACGTGACAATGTATTTGGCACCACCCTTAGAGGAATTTCTCATTGGCCCCATGACTCCTGCGTGCACGCGCTCCAGTAAACGTGTCGTCTTCGTCATCGAATGTGAAGGAAACGTCGCGACGGTCTGCTATCCCTTCAAACACCCGCCGCACGGTGTTTCAGGGCCTGTCTTGATTGCCGGAATGCCTTTAGTTGAGCGTAGAGTCTGAGGAACGCGTCCTTGCTTGGGTGTTCCATGCGGGCATGCCAAAGCTCCCACTGAGTGTCACCACCGGAAAATTCCACGAGAATAGCTTATCCTTGCTTATAGTCTAGCATATATAATTTTTCCGATTCTGGTACCCGAGGCGATAGCTTGATCCTTGTTCCAGATGACACAAGACGAACTTGAGAACTCCACATTCATGCCACGTTATGCAAGCTTACCGACTGAAAGAAATCTTCTATCGAGTCCTGGGATGTAAAGGACTTCAATTATGCGAATGCCTTTCCATCCAAACCGGTTAGCTTTACCGTACCGGCTCCTTTGACGATCAACTTCTTGCCGTATGCAATCGTTACTTCGACGTTTGCCTCAAGGCCCTTGTATTCGAACAAGTCCTTTCTGTGTGGGGTCATGTGGGAGGTTGCACCACTGTCGATTAGCCATCCGGATGATCTTCCTTTGCATACTGCAAATACCGCATCATCGCCGCAGATTGGTTTCCCGGCCGGGCAGTTCCGCTTCACGTGACCAAACTTGCCACTGTTAAAACACTTGCCCTTTAATCCGCCGTGATTGCGTGGAGCGCCACCTTTCCGACCGTTGACCCGTCCACCTTTGAATCTTCCGGGATTCCCATTCACGCGGAGTGCTTTTTCCGTAGCCTCCTTTCTTTGTATCTTTTCTGACTACTTGAGCAGTTTCTCTTTGACTTCAATCAGCTTAATATCCTCCGAATTTTCAATAATCGACGAAATCAGTTTGTATTCAGAAGACATACTGCTGAGAAGTATCACCGTCTGGCGCGACTCATCCACCGATTCTCCCGTAGTCTGGAGTCCCACTACCAGTTCGTCGAAAGAATCTAGATGTTCCTCCATACTTGTACCACTCTCCATTTTGAATTCGTGACGATGACGCGTCATCGTCACACGATTGTGAAAAGTCGAGCGGTTGTGGAAATCGCGGAGCGTTCCCCATGCCTCTATAGCGCGCGTAGCCGATCGAATCTTGGTTTGGTGCTGGACCTCAACCCCTTGAGGGATGATGCCTAGCGCCTTGGCGTCGTTTATCAGACATGATTCTGTTACGTCACTCTCATACTTGAATGCCATGATATGCCCTAGGATACCCTTCCTTGCCAGGTTCATCCTCATGCTATACTCCCAGTGATAATAGTTACCACTTCCCAGGAGAACTTCGGTTCGATTGTTCGCCATAGTAAGCGAGGACGTGGTTTGGAAGGAAGGCTTGGCTGCGGCTGTTAACCTTTTAGAAAGTGAACATTACGTAAATGAAATGACCTGCATTAAAACGCGCGCCAGACACCTTTCGACCCCCCGCCAGGGACCTCGTCAGTGGCTTGTCAAAATACAAGTGAGAACGACCTAACCGATATCTTTGTGCCGCCTATTACAACACAAAGAACCCTGTATAATATTCCATATATGCCCTAGTGTAGGTTGAATCGCTGGAGTCGACCCAAGTGCAGGTTGCACTTCCAACACATACATTAGTTTAATTTGGTCACCAGTCCTCTGTTTCATTCCAGCGTACGATTTCAACTCTTCGCACACCTGTGTTTCCGATCCTAACTCGTCATGTCTCGCAATTCCTCCACGTTCCATGGTCATGGGCTGTGTATCGCGCCTTTTCCACGCTCTTTTGTGTCAATCCGCCTCGATTTTATCGAGTCCAGCGGAGCAATTGGACTAAATCTCAACGCACAAACGATTTTCTCGTTCAAGTCTGCGCTCTGACTGCATCATGAGTGTGTAGGGGTCGTAAGACGGTTCGACGACAGTGGCTACAAGCTGACACACGATTGATCCAAGAGCACGAACGTCTAGTTCTTGCGTGCAGGATCCGACACAACTAAGTGACACTGAACTTTCCGACTTGTCAATGATGATCGTCGGATGTACACGTCAGCACTAGACGTACATCTCGACTTGCGATCATTGTTTACTGGCACCGAAATGGCTCCGGCCATCGAGTAGCGGCGGTAAGGGTTCTTCTGAACACTTACCTTCTGAACAATTCCGCTACCAATGGATTGATTTTGTTCTACGTATTCTGTAACGGGGCAGCCCGTTACATGGAATTGTCACTATAACTAAAGTGACAATAAAGAATATGAAGTTGGATATTCTTTAAATAATATCACCAAAGTGGTGATATTGAAGGGTCGACCAAAGAGTCTGTTCATTGGTTGATATCTTGATGATATCAACCCACCAATCGCCGCAAGACGCGCGCAATGAATGGTGACGAGACGTCACCATACACTCAGTTATATTAACATAATTAAGTTAAGTCAAACAGAGAGACAGTAGTTAAAAGACTTAATTATATTAATATAACAGTTCTGCTTTTACCTTATCTACGCTTCCTCGCTTGCCACGTGTACGTCTGTCGGGGCACCGATACCCTTGCGTTAAGTTCACGCAAGGGTGTACCCCGTTACAGGTTTTGTCGATTCCAAGGGAGCAATTGGACTCAATCGCGACGCACAAACGATGTTCTCGTTCAAGTCTGCGCTCTGAATGCATCATGAGTGTGTAGGGATCGTAAACGGTTCGACGACAGTGACTACAAGCTGACACACGATTGATGCAAGAGCACGAACGTCTAGTTCTTGCGCGCAGAATCCGACACAACTACTTACACTGAACTTGCCGACTTGTCAATGATGATCGTCGGATGTGCACGTCAGCACTAGACTTACATCTCGACTTGCGATCATTGTTTACTGGCACCGAAATGGCTCCGGCCATCGAGTAGCGGCGGTAAGGGTTCTTCTGAACACTTACCTTCTGAACAATTCCGCTACAAATGGATTGTTTTTGTCCTACGTGTTCGATCACCGGTCCTTCTGCTACGTCAAAGTGGAACTGCGGGTATTGCAACGGGCGTTGGCATGGAGCGAAGATGCCTATAAATCGCCACACATCGAAACCGTGGAAAACGCTTGTTGTAGCACCGAGTTGTATACGTCTTAATGAAAACAGTGAAGCACGCTGTCGTTCAGGGTAACTTTCGCTCCAACAGTCTGCATGGTGCTTTTGCCACGAACGCGTTCTATGTGATGAAGTGGCGCTTCTTTTGTACTCAACGCTAGTGAAGTGTGTCATACCGACATGAAGCGCCCCGGCCAGAACACGCGCCACGATGTTTTCGACCAAGTACTTCATACCAGACGTGCAGTATGCTGTCAGTACTGTTCTTCTTGTGGTCTTCTCCTTCGAGCGACTACGATTACGCTACGTTGTTTTCCGTATGATATGAGACGTTGTATCTAATTCGTATACTGCAATAGCTCGTACAGGATGGATCAGAAGGGAAGTCAGGAACGTTTATTCTCTCTCTTTTGCCAGCTCTGTCAAGCTGGGACTATAAAAGATGTGCGTGGCAATCCTGACACAATGACGGATCCAATCGTCATGCTGCCTACTACCCGCACCTCCTTCGGCCTCTTCACTTTCGTGCGACGATCGTGAACGCCGTAATTGGAATCAAGGTCGGAGAGAGGTCATCGACTACATCGCCACTTGTCGTTGTCGCAGCAGAACCTTCCTCCGAGTATATGTTTTTGAGAATGCCTTCTTCCATCAGATTCATCAGCGTCGCTTCTATCTGCTTCTTCGTCAGCCTCTCCAAGAACTTGGCACCAAAGGGATTGTCCATATTTGCCTGCGCCAATGTTTTCAAGTCGTCAAACACAACAGTGTGTGTCGTGCAGTACGACTTGACCTGTCGGAACCCCGCAGCTTGTAGCTCCTTCAACACCCTCTCTCGATCCGATGCTGCCACCAACGACGGATAGTTCAGTGGCTCTCCATCACTTTCTGAAGCATTGCACATATCCGTAACCCTATCAAACCATATCAAGTTCGAACTCTTGTCAGCCCACGCCGTGACAATCAAAAGGCCGTCGTCTTTCAACACGCGACGAGCTGCTGTCCACGCTGGGGTGCGATCGATGATGATACTGAGCCCGAAATTCGAGCCGACGGCATCGACCGACGCAGTCGGAATGCTTTCCAGCTTCGTCCCGTCTGCTTGCAACGGGGTGATCGCGGCACGGAACGGACGTAACGCGGGGTCGTCTTCCAGCGCATTCGTCACTTGCTGCAACATTACGTCCGACCAATCCGACGCAGTAATGCGTATGTCCGTCTTCGTGTGGAGATTGCAACGGAGATCCACGTCAGTTAGTTTTTAACACAACATGTGTGTTTTACATTACGGATGAGATTCCATTGCAAATTATGTTAGACACCGTATCAGTTGTTGGGGGTTGACGTGTGTCAGGCACCATATAAGAGATCATATATAGGTATTAATAAGGGCATTAGTGTCTAGGTTAAGTACATTTAGATTGAGGTGCATCGTTTGGATAAACAAATAAAGTTCAGTTCCTCTTTTGAACCCCATACGACACATGCCTTCGCAAGGCGTCGTGAGATCGACAAGAGTCTAGCAAACACCTCGCCAGTGTAGCTACTCTTGAGCACTCTGTGCTGTGATTCTTTGAATCGTTTAGTCCCCTGGAACAGGGATCGAAAGTGCTTTGGGCTTGTTGACTCTCTGAGTCGAGTTCGTTGAGCTAAGTTGGTCGTTAAGCATTGAAGTCGTCCTATGACTAAAGGAGCTGTGCAGCTCTGCTACACTTAGTAGCACTTGTTGTCAATATACGCATGATTCAGTAAAAGCTGATTTCTTGTGAGATTGGAATAATCCACACTTCTCACTGAGGCCCATTGGATCGGGCTTGATAAGCTGATTGCGGCTGTAAAGTCCAAATATTTAGAGTTTTATATGCGCAAGATACCAATATGCGAAACGCACGTGTCGAGATCTTCATGCAGTATGAAAAGACCTATAAAGAGCAGGGATAAGATCAAACAGCGTCGACTATGTCCACACGCTTTGTGTCTATGCCAGAAGATGGAGCGAAGCCTCAGCTTTCGAAGATGGACATTGACCATACTCCGGGAAAGAAAAAGAGAATATCATTCTCTAGATTTGCGATGTAGAGATAGCCCATAGGTCGGGCATGATACGAAACTAGTATCAGAATGTCGCGGTGGCGATAAACAAGCTTGCTGGTAGGGCTAGGGAGTGAGCACTCACGTGCAGTGCGTCCGTTGTTGACGGCTTCCCAACATAGGAAAGTTGTAAGCTTCATCTTATTAGCTCTTTTATGCCGCTTAACCAGGCACACCGCGTGCTATCACGCTTCCTCTCTACCCTTAGGGCAAAAATTCATTATCGTCCAAGCGTTGAGGATACTCATTGCTGCTACGCAGGGCTACCCTCTCCCAGAGGTAGTCCATATGACGTTTTTCATGCAGGGAATTAATCCTTGCCCTTCCATAACTAAAGACTTACGTGTTTACCCCACCATCTTGGAAAGGGCGGTCGTAATAGCGCATAGGCGCATCATAAATTTATGCTTGGCAATCCGGGTGGAAATAATTACTACCCGAGCTCTACCAGAGCAAGCTCAATGGGAATTTCAGCGTCTTCTATACCTGAACCTATGGACCTCGGCAATGTTGAGGATGACAGTGAAGATGAAGCTGATATCTAAGCCGTTGAACAACCACGCGTTATCTATCGCTGCTATATGAGCGTGAGAACCGAGTATTCACGTCCCGGATGCCCTTTTGTTAGGCAGCGTTTGGCCCACATGGTTCTAACCCCGGCTAATAGCTGGAACTATGGTAAGGCACGAAAAAAAACTTCACCTTCTAGTAGATGTGTGGTTCTCTACTGGGGATTGCTTGGGTTCTTTACCTCGGGTAGGAAACAGGGCTCATTCCCTCAGAGCTCTGTGATCTATAACACGAAGCGTGTATACGAGTCGGGATTGCTTGTAGTTGAAGCAACAGCTAATGGAATTGCTAAATCTTGGACATTATTATCAATTACGGGGCATCAAGCAACTATGCACGTCGTCGATTCCTGGAAGAGGGTCAGACGTATGCTGAGGCGCTGAAAGCGCAAGATAATGAGACTTTCACCATTCGTTTAGCGATAGGCCGTGTTTCACATCGCCAAAGGTTCCATCAATCTAGGCGTGAAGTTCTTGAACTTTGATTGCGTGGAATTCTGCTTATCTCTTGAAATAGACACCAGACATGATATCATTTCAGCAATGACATGGATGTAACGCCACAAGCAATATATTAATTGGGGGTATAAGATCGATCGTGCAATCCTCACGATTCCTAGCAAAGCTTTAGAGATTCATGAACCCACCTCTGTTAGAAAAATAAATCGATATTGGTGCGAGCCACTACCTGGAATTGACTAGTGTGTTGGACATTGGTTTTTCAGAGTTACTTGACACCAAACACGTCAATGAGGCAAGTCCACAGCTAGACGCTTCGATGGATGGTGACGCGTCAATTATTCCGTTGAGCGACGCTCATAGTAATAGTGGTTCATGAAATACTGCAAGCATGAATGGCCTAGAAACGGGACGTCTTGAGCAGAGGTCGCATGATGTGCGTGGAGTGGCACGTATAATCAACTGAGTGAAGTGTTCAGGTTAATAAACACCTCATTAGGTGTCGGTCGAGACATCAGCTCTCGTATAAAGCAAGTTACTGTCAGCGACAAAAAAAAAGGGCAAGCCATTTTCCGACCTCTATGAGGTGTAAGGTCTCGTCATCAACACGACGAGAAATTCAGACCGCAACTTTGAAACGCAAAGATTCCTTTTTGTTGCATAGTGACGATAGTATAAATACACTATATGCACTTGTAGATGGAGTGACTGGTCAGGTAGATGGCTGTATCAGCGTTGAGACTTTCTCATCTTTAGATGCTATGTTTGAGCTAGGCATAATTTCTGGTGGTAAGTTTGGTCAAGCCTTCAAGCCAGGTGAATAATAATATCTTGTACTCATTAGACCAGACCGTGAGTTAAACCCTTTATCGTTTCTAAATGATTCTGTCCTTTAGGACTTGAAGGTGGATCTTGGTGCCCGTAGTAGATCTTCGATCCTTCATCATTCCATGGATCCCTTCTATCCTTTAATTAAGAAACAGGACGTTGTTTGTAATGTTCCACCGCCCGCTTCATCTCCCGATAGAGATGCCTGTCATACCTTTGACCTATTCATTGGAACCAAGTACTTTTTTACACGGCAGTATCCCTATCCATAGAACAATGTGACGTCATTGACGACTTTTTTCGTGCTAAGCACGCGGCAAGAATGGTTCAAAAGAGTAAGTCTACCCATTCTAAACCCGTATTTTGTGTCAAGAAGCCGACTGACAAGTGCATCATTGTCCATGCTTACATCAAGCTAAATGCTGCCACGATAACGGCTCAAACAGCTAATCCTCGAAAGGATGTGGCTTAAAACGGCATGTTTGAATGTACCAGGATTAGTGTACACGACCTTGTCGATGGTTACTGCCAATTGCTCTTGCGAGCAAGCAATATTTCGTTGACTGCGGCCAACGCCTCAAGCGGTATCCTTTAGGAATGCATTGTAATTACCCAAAGGCTGTCCAATTCTCCAGCTACATTTAATCGTCTCGTGACGCAATTGTCGATACCATATCGATACTATGCATAGACGTACTTTGATAATATTTTGTCCATATTCGTGCTTCGATTGCTCGGTCTGACATAGACAGTATAAATTGATCATTTGCGATTAGTGCTTGAGTGCATGCGTACTAATAAGCTGTATGCGAACTCATCAGAATGCCTTTTTGGCGCTGAAAAGATTTTTTTTCTTGGATTCTTCATTAGGAATCAACACTTAAAGGAGGTTTCCTCCTAAGGTCAAAGTCATGCTTTACTGGCCGGTTCCTAAGACCCAAAAAGACTTACGCAAGTAGTTCGGCCTTGCCAACTACTCGCACAAGTATAGTGTGAACTATACATACATGGCTTGGCCCTTATCCAACGACCTGAATAAGGATATGGAATGGGGCTGGATTAGCACACAAACTGATGCTGTTAAGGACAGTCTCCTTCAAGCCCCGGTTTGGGCTCTTCTAGATCCTGCGTGGATCTTCAGTTTCTTCTGAGACGTCTCTGACAAATCCATTGACTTTGCATTATTGCAAATTGACCCGGGTGGTCATGAAAGCATTGTCGCGTATGATTCTCGCCAGATTAAAGTCGCAGAGAAGCAATGTGCAGTTCATGACAGGTTTGCTTGCATTGTAGTATGCTCTCGTAAGATTTAGATTCCATATGCTTGGCTCAAACCTTTTGTGATCTATACTAATCATGCGCCATCACGCACGGCGACGCAGTCGCCTTATCTCTCTCAAAAAATATCTAGTAAAATTTCGTCGTTTATCGAGTACAAAATAGTCAAGCAAAACATGTTGGTCAGTGCTTTATCGATCTGGCCTGGCCATGACCTTGCTAATGTTACGACTCTGTGGCCGTCGGTCACTGAAGTAATCATTACGACTTACGCCAAAGATTTATACTCTGTATCTCTGCTACGTGCTCTTGGAAGCAAGACGTTTATGGTCTCAGATATAGATTTGTCGGCAAGATTACGCTCAAGACTACATCGTTTATCCATCTATTAAGGCCTGTTATGCTATAACACAGACGTTGAGGATATTACTCGTATCGTTGTTTCTCATGGTGAGGAATTGAAGTATCGAGTCCTTAATGAGGAACATGATACTGCGTTAAGTGATCATTTCGGTCGTAAGAAGACCTATGGCTCTTTGATCCAAACGTATTGGCGGCCCAAACTCTACACATGGGTAAGAACATATGGGCGTACGTGTAAAACGTGTCAACTGGTTAAACCTCAGCTCAAGCGGCGGTGCAGCCAGATATTTTTTCTGTACCCAACGGATGGTGGGAGTCCATCAGCTTGGATTTCATGTTCGATTCACTGGAAGGTACCCATCTGAATACGGGTATGGTAGTCTTTGTTGACCGTTTGAGCAAGATGGCTCACTTGACGGTTTTGCTAGATACCCTTGTTGGTGAGGGTACAGCAACGCTATTTATCGATCGAGTGTTTCGAAAACACGGTTTGCCTGTGGCAATTACGTCGCACAGAGATCTTCGTTTTGCTGGGAAGTTTTGGAAGTCCGTCTTCTCGGTGCTAGGCACGCGATTAGACATGTCCACAGCA